TTAAAAGTAGGAGTGACAGTCAGCGCCATCTATAAGCCAAGCGACGAGTGTGAACCACTCTTTTATGCGTATGTTTGGCGTCACGTAGCACGTGAACTTATTACGAGTGGGCAGCTGAATAATAGTCCCTCGTATACAACCTAATGACACTAAGTCTGCCAGTACGAGACCCTCGTTAAATGAAATTCTCTTATTTCATTCCTTGGCATTACTGTCTGTTAGATCTCATTATATATATATATATATATATATATATATATATATATATATAGTGTGTGTGTGTGTGTGTGTGTGTGTGTGTGTGTGTGTGTGTGTGTGTGTGTGTGTGTGTGTGTGTGTGTGCGTGTGTGAAGTGCGTGTGTGTGTGTGTATCTCTGTTTTGGCCCCGCCACGGTGGTCTAGTGGCTAAGGTACTCGGCTGCTGACCCGCAGGTCGCGGGATCGAATCCCGGCTGTGGTCGAAATTTCCCGAGTCCTCCACTATGACATCTCTTATAATCATAAGGTGATTTTGGGATGTTAAACCCCCCAAATCAATAAATCAATCTCTGTTTTACCCCTTCAAAATTGTACAAAAGCTTTAGCCACATTGTCTTTCTAGATGTAGAAAGTGACTTTCACCATATTTCTTATCCTATATGTGAACATTGAATTTTGTAATCTTACTTTCCCGTGACAATTTTGCGAAGTATTGCCGCTGCATGGAATGACCGAAATACGCGACATCCTCGTGTGACCGCCTGATTGTGCTCCTTATTCGACATTCCAACAGGCTCTTCTTCGCCGCCTTGTTCAGCCTACACATCGGCTCATTCAACAACTCCTAAACAACGAAGAGCTTTGGGTACACTTTTTGCACGTTACAATGAAATGAAATGTACAACCATCCGGCCCCTACCCTGCAAGGCTCTTCTAGAAGAGCTTGGGGACAGACGTCTCATCTAATTCGTATGTCACCTGCAGTACCTTGTTAAGGACCAGCCGGGCTTCTTGGACACGGCTATATTACGTGAGTTGTTACTACGGCGTCTTTCAACTAACGCAAAAGTGAATCTTGTTTTAGCTCCCTGCTGGAGCCCGCTGAAATGGCTGACGAAATGATGGACGTTGCTCCGAGAGTCATGATGGCTGCCCTTCCTCCATGCAGCCGACGGAGAACATGTCTAACACGGCCGCCCTCACTTCGACTGGGCTGAGTCCCGTTGGCTGTGTGTGTCTCCTTCCGTCAGAGTGAATTGAATTATATGTGGTGGTCTCTCATGCCGGAAATATTTTTGTGAGCTTACAATACACAATTTGTGACACGTTTGTCTTTTCTGAGCCGTGAGCCGGCGAAGAGAGATTGAAGCGATTATCGGTGACGCTGCGCTGTGCTTCGTCTGCAAACAGGATCCCGTGGCGACATAATGATACAAACAATCATCGTGCGTGTTTGTGTCATGGTGTTTTATTTGCGCCTAAGTAAAGTTACGATGAGGAGAGTTCGCCAAAGCCTGGTATCTGCTGTGAGCAGCGGGTGTGTTTGTGTACTGTGCCCCTGCGTTTATCGTCGGACGTGGCGAAGTGATGGAGCAAAACCGTTATCAGAATAAATGAGAAAAGCGCGCGTGGAAGAAACCAACCTACGAGTTTCTAAAGAGAAAAAATTTTGCGACAGCAAGCTCTAACGCAAAGATTCATTGCCGGCAGCTGAGCGTGCAAACGACCGATTGGTGGCGGCAGTGTGGTAAGCAGCGTCATTGGAGTGTTGTGTAGCAACGTCGATCAATTGCTTTCCATCAATGCAAACAATCAGTGACTAACACGCGCTGCTTCAGAGAATGTCCTCAGAATATTAACGGTCAGGCATTTGAGAGCAGTATTTGTTTCCTTAATGTCAGCCTCAGTGTTAATAAGAAATAATGACTAATACTTTGGTGCCAATACAAGGAAGCTTGGCATGAATTCGTACCGCTGTGTGGCTTAAAACTCTTCACTCACTGCACGCGCCAGCTGTACAATGTCTTCTGTTGAACAATCACGCATAAGTTTTACATGCTGCCAGCGCTCGACTTGCTTTCCCACGACACAGCTTAGCGCTGCTTTTCAATTGTTGTAATATGTCGCTACTTAAAGGTTCCTATGATAGTGAAGGCAACTGAGCCATTATGTACATTACAAAATGTACGATAAAGTGGTCACAGCTGTTTGTGAACTGAATCCTAATAGTTCTACTCACGTCTACGTTAAATGTGCCTGCGTTTTTGTGTACACTTGCTATTTTACCCTTTTTAGTATTTTAGATCTGTTTTCACGCTTGCGCTTTTGTGAAAGTGTGTGAATATGTGACTGATTTTATGCATGTATACGTTTGTTCCTATTTTTGTCTTTTTGCGTTTGTTTTTGCGAAGGATGCTGCAGCCAAATCTTCCTTCGCAATTCGATTAACGCGGTGAACATTGCTGAGCGTTTTTCAGGTATGTAAATATGACAACACAATGCTAGAAAAGTTATACACGTTAATATTTGTGTTTGCATTTGCGTTACTTGCCCAAGTCAGAATAGTAAATTAAAGATTGGCTATGACAACACTTCGATTCTCAGTGCAGACTAGTAACAGAATCATGAAGTGTGCTCAGAGTACTGCTTTTTCACTATGGGGCACGTCAAAATAGACGGTGGCGGCCTGAACGAGCATTTTTGACCTCACTATGATAATGATTTTTTATATTTGTTCTCTTATTTGCATTGATTGTGTAAGCCAGATAACCAAAATAAACAATGCAACATCATGAATGTGCTTTGGCATGCAAGTTGCTAACAGTGGCTGTCAGAGTCATGTTGACTGCTGCTATTTCACCAGCACTGGCTATGACAACCAGGGCCGGATTGACAGTGCGGAGGGCCCGGTTTAAAAAAAATAAGACCCCTCCCCTCCCTCACTGACGTCCTTTCTTTCCAGCTTTGTCGTCTGTTCATGCTTAAGACTTGACGCTTTTTAGATTTAGCTGCAAAGAACAAAAGCCATATTTATTCTATGCTTCTGCGGAGTGTTTATCACCTGGGCGTTCTATTTCTCGCGGAGCACGCGGCGATATTGTCGTCGTAATAACTAACTCTTGCAGGATACGAAGACAAATGGACAGCATTAAGATTTGTGCAGTACGTTGGATCTCACTTAAAGAAAACTGAACTCTGCGAGAAGTTGAAAAAATAAGGAATGCGCGCGACACTTAAAGCTGCTGTCCAAGGACCACGCGTGTTTCTTCCATTCGTCTTTACTTATGTCACTGTTTACCCTCATTTCAAAAGAGAATATCTCCCCTAGAAAATCAGGAAGCGCCTGTGTGAAAAATAGCTTTCTCTCTCTGCTTCAGTTTCACTGATTGGATAACGCACGCTTTGGTTGTTTTTGTGCGAGCACTGGTGAAGTTTACAGGTCGGCCTTTTTCAGAAACTGTTCGCACGCGCTTACAGTATTTTTATTTATTTATTAGAATACCCTCAGGGCCCGTAGGGCATTACAGAGGGGGTGGGTACAACACATATAACACACAAGAAAAAAAGACAAAATAAAGAAACAAGTAAACATGCAACCAATCGTCTAGTTGCTTTTTATTTCATACAACACACATTTGATCGCTTCTTTTTATAGTGCTGTTATAAATATTACATGTGCCTACTGATTCCAACAAGTAATGCAGATGGTTTAAAGTTAAAGTATTTTCAATATCAAAAGGGGGAGGGCTATATCTTCAGGAAAAGGTGGCACCTATAAAAAATGAGATTTATGTACAACTTTCATAAAACATTTTTAATAACAGTCAAAAAATAACAACACATACTTTCATTTATGCACAAATCACTCGCTTTTAAACATGTAATAGGGTTACACTCTTACAGGCAATATTCAATTTCATAGAGCTATAAGAGAAGGAAACAAATTCATTGCAGACATCGTTTCTGTGGTTCCAGCAGGAAGGTTACACTTTTTAGAAGAAAAAAAAAACAAAGTTAGCTATTTTTCTTGCCCTTGGGGAGAAGGGGGAGGCTGAAACTGGAAGGCCCGGTTCCGTTGCACCCTGGATAATCCACCCTGATAACAACACTTACATTATCAATGCAGACAGGTAACAGAATCATAAAGTGTGCTCGACTACTGCTATTTCACAATGGTGCGCGTCACATTGGATGGTGGCAGTATGAACGAGCATTTTCGGCTTTACTAAGCTAATGATGTTTTAGATTTGTTTCCTTATTTGCATTACTTGTGTCAGCAAGAGAACAACTTAACAATGCAGCCACATGAATGCGCTTTGGCAAGCAAGCTGCTAACAGTGGCTGTCAGTTTAATGTGGACTGCTGCTACTTCACCAACACTGTCTATCACAACCCTTGAATTCTCAGTGCAGACTGCTAAAAGAATCATAAAGTCTGTTCCTACTACTGCTATTAACCTATGAGGCGTGTCACATTCGACCGTGGCTGCCTGAATGAGCACTTTGAGCCTCACTAAGCTATTAATGTTTTATATTTGTTCTTTTACCTGAAATGCTTGTGTGAGCCAGAAAATGAAAACAAACAATAGAACAACTGCTTTGGCATGCAAGCTGCTAACAGTGGCTGCCAGTTTCGTGTTGACTGCTGCAATTTGGCCAGCACTGGCTATGATAACACTTCAATTTTCGGTGCAGACTACTAACGGAGCAATAAAGCGTGTCAAACTCGACGATGGCTGCCTGATTGAGAATTTTGAGCTTGCCAACGATGATCAGGATTAAGAACAGTGTTTCAGTTCAGATATGCCAGCATTGAAGTGTGTTTCTGTGCCACTTCTCAAATCGAGCGTGAAGTCTGAGGGACGTGGCTTATCGGAATTGAGCATCTATGAAAGGAACACGCCATAAGTAGAATTGCCTATTTTTTTGAGAAGTCACGGAATGGATAGTTGTCTCTTGCAAACCCACTAGGCAAAAATTTCATAGCCCAAATACGTGTTTTCCTTTATTTATACAAAGCCGCTATGCTTCGTCAAATGACTCAGTGTCAGAGAGCTCGCAGTCGTCCTCGCTTTCATCAGTTTTATCGTCACCAAAATGAATGATGATGAATTGAATGGGCTCATTCCCAGACGTTTGAAGTCTGAAGTTTGCATCCACGTCTATCACGTGCGGAATGCTCTTCCTCCAGCCTTTCGCCGTTACCTGCTTTATTTTATCTCTCAAGAAGGCACCGACCGCGGACAGTTTGAAGTCTCTGTTTTCCTCAGTGACAACGTTTTTGACGTTGGCCCACACAAGCTCGATGGGATTAAGTTCGCAGTGGTACGGCAGGAGCCTGAGTAAAATGCAACCGGCCCTTGCAGCTGTGTTGTCTACGATGTAGCTCAGAAAGCGTGACTTTACAGATGCCACCAGCTCAAGCAGCTTCTTCTTTATTACCCTTTTACTGAAGGTGATGTTCTTGCTTGATAGCCACTCCCGTATCTCTTCTTTCTCCAAGGCTGTCGTCGGCAATTTTTCTTCTCGCCGGCTATGGTTAGCTGCATTGTCTGAAACAATGACGTTACCATCTGGCAGCTTCTTCAGAATGTCATTGAACCAGCCATCAAAGCGATTGTTATCCATTCCCGCGTGGTAGTCGCCTGTCTTTGGGCCTCGGAATACATCCAAGCAGCCATCGACGAAGCCATCCTAGCTGCCTATGTGCGTCACGATCAGGCGCTGACCTTTTCCAGCAGCTTGTTTTAGACACGTAGTCAGGCCGTTTGCTCAAGTAAACAGGCGTCCTCGTTTCTGCACTATGTTGTCTGTCCACATGATCGACCGAATGTGTCTCTCCGTGACCCATGTCTCGTCTAGGTACAACATTTTTCGGCCTTCTGTCCGGTAACGCTCCACGTCACGGAAGTAGCAATTCCGCCAATCGGTGATGTCATCCCGGTCGATAAGCAGCGAGTTGCGGCTTCTCTTTACATGCTTGAAGCCGATATCCGCAAGCAGGAGAAGCACAGTACACCGTATTAGTTTTGGGTGTTCCATACGCTCCGAGAACTTGGCAGTTATCTTCTCGACCGTCGGTGTCTCGTTGCGGAGAAATAAATAGTGCACACATGACCTCAGCGCGCACAACATGAAGCTGTCAAACTTCACGCTGTGCCTTTTCTCCTCCGATCTGCGCTGTGCGCTTTCGCAAGAGCGTCGTCAGTTTGCCACCCGAAAAATTCGAATCTTTAACTTCCTCCCTCACCCAGACACAGTACGTTCGCCGACACCGAGCATGTCGGCGAAAAACTTGCTCATGTCCTCCACGCTGCGTTCAGGCTCCCTGTTGCGACAATACGTGTAGCTGTGGAAGACTGTGGAGCGTGAATCGCTGTTTAGAATGTGGCCGCTCTTAGTTCTTCCTGAAGCTCCTTGGTGGTGTAGCCATCGAGGCGACACAAGCTCTCACAGCAACAAAGAGTCGCGTTTCGATGTCAATTCACTGGGCTCTATGACGGAAAACTTGCACGGAATAGAGTTATTCAATCATATGAACTGCGAAACTCCCCTATTGCTCTATGTATCGAAATCCAAACACGTCATTGGCCCCCTTGTGGGAAGTGAGCAGATTGTCATGCCACCTGTTGTTCTGCACGCCCCCTAATAAATGCATTATTTGTGTTTTGTGTTGCCACTCCCAGGTGGCGTGAACGTCAGCCAGCTTCCAATAGTGTGATTCAAGAAGACTTGCGGGGAATACTTGACGCACTAGATGTGGAAGATGGAATAACTAATCTTTTAAAGGACATATATGAAAGTAACAAGGTAATTATCAAATAGGAAGAACGGGTATCTGAGCCTATAGAGATACAACACGGGCTTCAATAGAGATGTCCCTTCTCACCTTTGTTATTTATGCTGTATCCCCAGGGACTAGAAGCCAAATTAGAGGGAGTCGACTCGAACTCAGCCTCTCTTTTGCCAAGCAAGGAAAACACATTGAACAGTCATTACTAGCATTGGTGTATGCAGATGACATAGTATTGTCACGGGGTCGTGACGTGGACGAATGGAGCACACTGCGAGTCGAATAATAAATTGTTTATTTGCGCGAACCTGTGCTCAGTAAATGGAAAGTCGGACTACAGCAGCATTTTTGGACTGTTAGCGGCGAACGGAGTGTCGGCCGTCGGTCAACAACTGACAAGCGGTGAAGCGCGTCGGCATTTATACTCTTGCCGTCGAATGTTCTAGCGTTATCGCTGGCGGTGGCGTAGGTTCCAGAATAATTTTTGTACAGTTCGCAGAGTAGGCGTGATCTTATCGAAATGGTCTACTACAGACCGGAAGCTTCTCGAAAATTGCAGGCGCGGTTTGCGCTGAGAATTGTGTAGTGTTTTGGGACAACAAAACTTGGGAAATGGAACGTGGTATTGCCCCCCTCTGAAAAAGGCATCGTCCTGACGCTTTAACTTTAAGGTGAAGGTACAACAATAATGCAAGAAAGTACAATGAATAAATTACGATACAATTATAATACAAAAACACTGTTTCAGTTTGTTAACACGCATGAAACGGCTTGAGGCGCGCGACATGGACAACTTCAGGTCGCGATCGGCGTCGTTGAAAGTTCGTGATGCCGTCGCGGACAACCTCGTAATCAAGTGGGCCAAGACGTCGAACCACCCTGTACAGTCCGAAGTACCGTCGCAGAAGCTTTTCACTTAGTCCACGTCGGTGTATCGGCGTCCACACCCAAACGCGTTCACCGGGCTCGTATTCCACGAAGCGTCATCGAAGATTTAACGGCGGCTGTCGGTCATCTGTTGATTCTTGATACGGAGACGCGCGAGTTGTCGGGCTTCTTCGGCGCGTTGAAGGTACTCACTCACATCGAGGTTTTCTTCGTCGGTGACGTTGGGTAACATGGCATCGAGCGTCGTTGCCGGGCTCCTTCTGTAGACCAACTTGTATGGAGAGATCTGCGTCTTCTCCTGCACCGCCGCGTTGTATGCGAAGGTCACGTACGGAAGAATGGCATCCCACGTCTTGTGTTCGACATCGACGTACATTGCCAGCATGTCGGCGATCGTCTTGTTAAGCCGCTCGGTGAGGCCGTTGGTTTGTGGGTGGTACGCTGTCGTCCTGATGTGGTTTGTCTGGCTGTATGCCAAGATTGCCACGTTCCATTTCCCAGGTTTTGTTATCATCCCTAAACACTACAGCATTCTCAGCGCAAACCGCGCCTGCACTTTTCGAGAAGCTTCCAGGACTGTAGTAGACCATTTCGATAAGATCACGCCTACTCTGTGAACTGTACAGATTATTCTGGAACCTACGCCACCGCCAGTGATAACGCTAGACATTTAGGTGGCAATAGTATAAATGCCGACGCGCTTCGCCGCTTGTCAGTAGTTGATCGACGACCGACACTCCGTTCGCCACTATCAGTCCAAGACTGCTATCTGTGCGAGACTGCTGCTGTAATTGGACTTTCCGTTTACCGGACACAGGTTCGCCCAAATAAACAGTTAAATCCTAACACGAAGTCTCCTGTCTTCGGCCACGTCACGACCCCGTGACATCTGGTGGAGGTGCTGCTTCGTTCATGTACCGCACGCCCCCGTCAAGCCGTGAACCCAGCCCACGTCGCGGAGAAGACGCCGACGCCAACCAGGAGCAGCAGTCATCACCAGATGTCACGACCCCGTGACATCTGGTGGTGAATTGTGTAGTGTTTTGGGACGCTAACAGAACTTGGGAAATGGAACGTGGCAGTATTATCAGCCAAAACACAAGGAAGGTCGGCAGAGATTGATAGACATTGTGGTAACGAGGGAGATAGGGTAAATTTGAACTTCCGCAGGGAAAATCGGCAATCATAATTTTTAACGATAACAAAGGCAGTGAGCATAAGATACAGGAAGTCAAGCTAGAATTAGTGAATAAATACAAATACATGGGCGTATAGATAAATAACAGGGCTGAAAATCTAAGGAAACACGAAAGATACGCAATGACTATATAAGGGCACTATAAATGCAGCTGTAATAAAAAATAGGGCACTGTGGAACTACAATAGGTATGACATTGTGAGAGAGATTTGGAAAGGTGTCATGGTCCCGGGTTTGAAGTTCAGCAATGCGGTCTTGTGCATTGAATAAGGAGTTCAAGCAAGATTGGAAATTAAATAACGTTACATAGGTAGACTTGCTTTGGTAGCACACGGGAATACTCCAAATCGGGGGGTACAGGGTGTCATAGGATAGACATCTTTTGAGTGCAGGGAAGCTAGCAGCAAAATAGAATTTGAGCCCCGCCACGGTGGTCTAGTGGCTAAGGTACTCGGCTGCTGACCCGCAGGGCGCGGGTTCGAATCCCAGCTGTGGCGGCTGCATTTCCGATGGAGGCGGAAATGTTGTAGGCCCGTGTGCTCACATTTGGGTGCACGTTAAAAAACCCCAGGTGGTCAAAATTTCCTGAGCCCTGCACTACGGCGTATCTCATAATCATATAGTGGTTTTGGAACGTGAACCCCACACATCAATCAATCAAATCAATCAAGATAGAATTTGAGGAGCGATTAGGAAAAATGGGAGAGAAGCGTTGGGCTCGGAAAGTTTTCAGTTCCTTGTACATGAAAAATGTCGGTATTGAATTGAGAAAACGAACTCGAAAATACTCAAGTAAGTATTTAGAAACCAGCAGAATATCAAGCCAAAAGAAAGCATTGGTTAAGAAGAAGGTAAAGGAAGCAGAGAGGGACAAATGGAAGATGCTTACGAAATTATCACTGGAGACCTACTGAACTTTTAAGCAGGAAATTGCAAGGGAAAAGATCTACGATAATTCTCTGGGTAGTTCTCTGCTCTTAGAGGCTAGAACTGGAGTATAGCGGACCAAGACGTAACGCGCAAAATACGAAGGCACAGACACGGTATGTAGTGCTAGTGGAGAGGAGAAGGAAACGGCTGAACATTTGAGATTGGGAGATAATTTATATACTAACCAAAAGTTTTGAAGAAATCCGACGTTTCCAAACCGACTTGATTCCTTCCTCAGGGGTGACTGCAGGGCTACGTAGCAGCGGCGTCTTCAAAGCACTTGCGGGGTGGATAATGACCCTGTCTCTCTTGTTTTGCCGTGTCTATTCATGTCTATTCCCTTTATTCGTGTCCTCTTCCTTAGGCGGCTAATCTAGAATCATCACGCCAAGGTTTTCGAGATGCTTTGTCAGTAAGCATGTCGTGTGGAACGGGGAAAGGTCCTGCTGCAACAGAAAATGTCCATCGCTGTATAGTCCATCCAGCAGGTGAGGAAGGAGCCGATGGTCAATGATCGTTATGTAATCTGTTATGTATCTCATGCGTGGGGGCGTGTGCCGTATCAGTGGATTTCATTTTCTTGGTTCCTTGCTGGTCATCGGAACATAAGATATGAGCAAGATGGGCTGTTTGTTCGTCAGAAGTGAGTTAATGCGGGGAGATGTTTTTAAGAAGGAACAGACAAGCAGACGAAGGGCCCAGTTGTGTGTGATTCATGGGTATGTGCTCACTCTCGCCTTGTCTGCATCTTGGCTCCGTCGTATGGCACTGACGCACAAACAAATTCGGCACTCGTACACGATAGCTACAAATTTAGAC